GGTCCAAACACAGTCACTCCCCTTGGCTGTGGAGTCACACATGATGCCACGGGAATAGACCTAATTTGCTAGTGCTCATTACTCATGTGTTTTACATGGATGCCCTGAGCACGTGTTTTCCACATTGTTTCCTCAGATAGAAGAACAGTTTTGTAAGTTTTATTGCTTTATCGGTTTTTGTTAACAAACGTGTCTTTAGATATGTTGGCTGGCGTCTCGTGGGCTATGGTGAGTTAAAAGTTATTTTTTCTTTTAAATTATTCTTAGGTCAGTATTTCTTGATACCTTTATCAATGTGTTTGTACTGTCAGCTACCAACCTGGGAAAAAAAAATTTTAAAGACTTCCATCGCTATAATTCACCACAGCTGAATGACTGGCATTTCTCTAGGTTAGGGGCCAGCAAACTAGGGCCCATGGGCCAAATGCAGATGGCTGCTTGTTTTTGAGTAAAGTTTTATTGGAAAACAGCCTTGTTCATTTGTGTACATTGTCTATTACTGCTTTCATGCTATAAGAAGAGAGTTGAGTAGTTGCAAGAGACCAGGTGGCCAACAAACTAAAAATATATTTACTGTCTTGCCCTTCACAGAAAAAATGGTCTTAGTGCCTATCACTTATTAATGTTGGTGTGGTTTTTATGATAATTAGAACACTCATTATGAGAGCCCTTTAAACCACGTATCTGAAAACTGAGTTTATTTTTCAAAGAAAATTTGCATCCATAGTAGTAAGCTCAGTTTTCATTAATGCTCATACAAGATTGCCATTTGGGTAGAGCTTGGGAAGAAACTTAGGGGATACAAAATGGAAGAGAAAGAGAATATATAACACCACCTGTAAAATTCTGGAATCAATGAGTGAGCAAGTATTGTTTATAAGAATAAGAAAGAAGGGAGGAGGAGGTGTTTTGATTTGCCCACGAAGCTGGGCTGGATCTCTTCTGCTAGGCATTCTTAGGGGCCAACCCTGCACTTTTCCCGGAACTGGTAACTAAACAGTTAACAGAAAGCCTTGGGAAAGAACAGCAGATTCTGTAGTGCTTCAGTGGCAATGAGAAGGAATGAAGAGACTGACCAAATTATTTCGTACTTTCTCAGGGTAGAATCTGGTACCCTATAGAAAATTAAGGAAGCAGCCCAGAGTCTCCTTTGAAGATTTTTTATATTAAACATGTCTTTGATGAATATATTTCAGAATGTTTATATCTTAAAGATTTTAGAGTATTTATCTTTACTTGAGCCTAAAGAAAGCCATTTAGTTCATATGATACTTAACCTTTCTTTAGAAGATGCAATGAGTATTGAGGTAAAAGTGTTCTGGAAGAAAAGTCCTTAAATTTTTTTTTTTTTTTTTTCTTCTACTGCTTTTGCTGATCATACAAGCTAGTTCCTAGCTTGGGGTTAATGTAAATATTTCTTCAGCCTCTGGCTAACCTCCTGAACATTCTGGTTCTCCTTCAGATGTGAGGATGAGCTGAAGCCATGGGGACTGAGGTTGAAACAGAGAAAAATGGGAGGCCTGGAGGAAAGGGTTTTGTATGAGATTCATTTCTTCTTACTCCCATCTTTCCTTCTGTCTTCCAGAATGTGAAAATGAATGGGGAAGCCAGGTGGATAGAGCAGTTCAGTTCTAGAAAGTTTATAGAAAGTCATCCTTAGAGCGGGTGGTTAACACTAGGGAGAAGGTAGCTTTACATTAATTCATAAGACTAAAGACATCAGTGTTTCAAGAATTAATTAATTCATATGATGGGACAGGGACCCTAAGAAACTGGGGCATAATCTATGTGCAGAAGGATCAAGGTTTAAGTTTGATTTTGACCTGATGCCTATGTATCAATTTAATTTGCTCTTTCAAGTCACTAAGAAAGTAAAAGTAAGTATTTGATTGAATTCACTCATTAGTTAACTGGGAATGTAGAATCCGTTAAGTTTGTCCTGAAATCCCCCATCTGGTGTTTATGGGGCTCTTTTATCTAAAATAGGCAAGGCTATGTTTTGTGCAGGGTTTCTTTCTTCGTTATCGAAATAATCTTTAAAACTGGGATAGGTGGAAAAGGTTCGCAGTGGGCAGAAATGACTGAAAAGTTTGTGAAAATGTGTAATTTCTGAGACAAAATTCAATATTTAGTTTGCATTTCATCTGGGATGGGATTCACACTTGTTTAAGTTAATAAACTGCTCTGTTCAAGTAAGCTGTGCCTTTAGACAGTCAGGAGGAGAGTGTGCAGAGTTACTGTAAATCTGCTAATGTTGCTTTACAGTCTTTTTGTTTTTTCTTTTTTGCGATATGCGGGCCTCTCACTGTCGTGGCCTTTCCCGTTGCCGGACGCGCAAGCTCAGCGGCCACGGCTCACGGGCCCAGCCGCTCCGCGGCACGTGGGATCCTCCCAGACCGGGGCACGAACCCGCAGCCCCTGCATCGGCAGGCGGACTCTCAACCACTGCGCCACCAGGGAGGCCCTGCTTACAGTCTTCTTAGATGACTTTTTAGAATTACTGTCAGGTCCGTTTTGAATTATCCAAGAAAAACATTATTATTTCCTCATTATACATCATTTTTGACTCCCAAACATTATTTGCTCTCAGAGATCCTGTAACTTTTCCTTTGTTCAGAAGCTAAATAATATCACCACCACAACAGAAAGGTAAACTTCAAAGGACAAAAATGCCATTATTAATGACATTAAAATGAATGTGTCATAAATAGGTTATTGCGACTTTGGACTAATGGAGGTGACCACCAGAGAAAAGTCTTACAAATTCGGATCATTCATCTTTCCGTAAGAAAGAGGTTTATTAAATGAAAGTGTATATAACAGTGGAAAATAATGCTTAGCAAAGTATTCCTAACCAGATGAACTACTGCTATACTTGCTCAGAATTTGCGGGTACTTAGTTTTGTAGAAATGGCACAGTTAAAGCACTTGACAGTTCTTTCTTTCCAAGCAAAATTAATTCCCCATTTACATACTTATGAAATATTTACTAACCCCTCTTTTCACAGTAGTGAACTTTAACTTTGAAATATCCCTTAGTGCACAGAAAAAAAATTGTTTTGATTCAAATCATAGAGGGTTATTTAAAAAAATACATGTATATATAAATGTGTTTCAGTAGAAATACTTGATGAATTTATTACATGCAAAAGCTCTAATTGCCACCTCTTCTAGTAACTGGAATCGCTTTTGGCAATTAGGAAGTAAATACCCACATACGTTTAATTTTATAGGTACATATCACTATTAAAATATTTTCTATTCTGTGGTTAAAGCTGGTATAGACATTTAATATTGATTTTTTGGGGGAAGGGATTGCAAGCTTTCTTTTAAATTTATTAAACTGGAACTTTTTCCATATCCATGTGGCTCAAAATTGTCGTTGCTTTATATATATAAAGTAAGTTTACCTATTTCCTATTATCTGCAAACTTACAAAGTCCATTGATGATGAAGGGTAAGAATCCATTCCTGTCAGACATTCTGAGGCCGTGCTTCCATTTTTTTAATAACGTCTTGAATAGTCATCTTATTCAAAAACTAGAGATGGCAAATGAGAATGAAAAACACACACTACCCTCCCTCACTCCGCTCAGCCCTGCCTACCTCACCTACCTGCACGTAAACAAAGCAAGTGTGGTCCAGGCAATCCCAGACTTTTTGTCTCAAAGCAAATAAATGGCTTAGCACCTCAGCCCCCCCTTATGGGTGTTTGCTTCTGTATTTAAATGTGTTTGAGGTTTTCAACATCGCCAGAACATTGACTGTTAAGAGGCGGAAAACATGCAATTTATAGCAGATGGGTGCAGCCTTTTCTGGCAGTGCTGCCGAAATGGGATCAATCAGTAGCACTTCACGCTCCATTTGCCTAACAGAAACCCACCTGGGGAAATCCTGTGGCACTATGCCTATTAGGAAAACACCTTAACATATTTCTTTAAATAAAAACTGGCCAGTTGGCATTAATCTAGAAGAAAATGGTTTCTCCATTAACCCTCTCCCGCTTGCAAAGCTCCTATCTTTTCTTCTTTTTCTTTGAACCAATGTCTCTTATTCTCTTTGCCGGTAGAAGACCAGCCAAGAGCAGCCCAGAGCAGCCTTCTAGAGCCGGCATCCATAGTGTTGAAACTTTGAAACTGTTTTCTTCATAGTTCTTGATCTCATCCTTTCTCTGCAAACCTTATTTGTCAAAGATCTGCTGCTTCTCAGGTTCATTTGCCACTTTCTCCACGCTGCCTTTTCTTTGTTTTTCTTGATCACTTTCTTGCCTTCATTCAGGGTGTGTTAGGCTGGGATGGAGTGTTACCAGCCAGGGGAGTCCTTGCAACCTTCACTACTCAACCAGCCCATATATAAATGTGTTTCCAGTGGAAATACTTGATAAATTTATTACATGCAAAAGCTCTAATTGCCACCTCTTCTAGTAACTGGAATCACTGGATTCTAGTAACTGGAATCGCCCATGCCCAGACAGCGTGAGGTTTCATGGGGAGGATGAAACGAAAATCAGGTGCTTTGGAGGTTCAGCACCTGCCACGAGTTAATTGCTATTCTGTCTCTGATTCCTGCAACTTCTCCAGGTATAAAGTGGATATCTCAGCCCTCCCACTGAAGCAAGCCAACTGCCTGGAGCTGCCTCTGGAGAGCTGCCTGGGGACGCTCTTGATGCTGGTCACCCTCACGCCCTGCGCGGGAGTCTCCGTCTCAGATCTGTGTGTGTGCCCCTTGGCAGATCCCAGGGAGAGAAAGCAGATCGCCCAGCGATTCGTGAGTGCTTTGCCTTGCTACACCCGCTCCCAACCCCCGCACCCACCCCCACTTGTAAGTTGAAACAAAGTATATGAATTGAAAAACTGCCTCCAAAGAGATCTTTGTCCAAAGTTTAACGGTATGTCTCCTAAAACAAGACATCAGCCCTAGAGGTTAATGCATTAGTGAGAAAGTGACAGTAGATTATAGAGTTTGCCTTCCTATTTTAAAAGCCAAAAAAAAGGTATTTGATTTTTTAGTATCCTGGATCTCTTTGGAGAAAATTGAAATCCTCAAGGGGGCAAAAGGTTGTTTAGCATGTCTGTATATGTAAATAGGAATTTTATTTTATTTTTTTAATTTTTATTTTGGAAAATAGTTGATTTGCAATGTTGTGTTAGTTTTAGGTGTACAGCTAAGTGATTCAGTTATACATACACATATATCCATTCTTTTTCAGATTCTTTTTCCATATAGGTTACTACAGAATATTGAGTATAGTTCCCTGTGCTACACAGTAGGTCCTTGTTGATTTTCTGTTTTATATATAGCAGTGTGTATATGTTAATCCCAAACTCCTAATTTATTTCTCCCCACCATGTTTTCCCTTTGGTAACCATAAGTTTGTTTTCCGAGTCTGTGAGTCTGTTTCTATTTTGTAAGTAAGTTCATTTGTATCATTTTTAGGAATTTTAATATAAGTTCACAAAAGTTGCTTTTTTAAAAACCAAATATTAATGTTTGCCATGTTGTAGATACTTTTCTAGAACCTCTTAAGATCAAGTGAGAAAGCGCTTGTGTCTCATAAAGCAAAGCCAAGCCGTAGACAGGCATGAAAGACTTATTCCATACTACCTTGGATAAGAGCAGTTTGTGATTTTTGCCTAAGTAGTTGCAATTTGCTTAAAAGTCCACTCAGCATTTTTAAATCAAATGGCTTTGTCCTTGTCATTATTTTTTGTGCTCTGGCTTTCTAGGTGTCTTTATTTGCATTCTCGTTTTATTCCATCTTCTTTGTAAATCAATACATTTATTCTATTGCCACACACACAAAAGGCATGTTTTAGGAAAGTGGCATGGAAGTGAAGCAAAGATGAATCCCTATTTAATGGGAATATTATTCTCAGCATAAACTTTAGTGCCTCCAGACTCCTTCACTGTGCAGGCGTATTGATTAACTGAATAAACCTTTATCTTCAGGAGTACAAAGCCTAGCCACACATCTTAATGACAACACAAGATTCTGCATGCAAGGTAGATGTACTCTAAAGAAGTTTTGACAAAATCCACTTTTAATATTCTCTTTGATGACTTTAGTTAAGCAAGTGAAAATAAAACACTTCCCCAAACTTTCCCATGGATAAATTGCACAATTTACCAAATTCATGAGTGTCATGCATTTATAAGGTGACATTAGGTAAGATCATAATGACTGATTTGAATAATGTCTCAGGATTCGAGGAATACTCATTGAAAAGAGATTTGAAAAGCCAGTAATCAAAATAAAAATATCAATTTTTTTTTTTTTTTTGGTAGCTAAGGGGCTGACCAGCATGCTAGAGGGAAAGATACTGTGTTACAAGACACAAGTTCCAGACCCCTGGATTTGTTTTTTAGGTTTTAAGAATAGATAATCTTCAAAGGCATTTTGCCTCTAAATTATGAAAGTACTTTATCTCAGATGTTTCCATTTTAGCTTAAACACTAGTTTTTTTTCTGTTTGTTTTTTTTAAGATTGAAAATACTGTTTGAAGAAACAACTTCCAAAAGTTCTTAGGAATGGTGCTTCCTAAGGTTTACGTTAGGCAAACCTTAGCTATTATTAAGCTTTTGTTATTCTTTCCTGAAATGCCTAAATAACAAGGATTTTACTACCCTTCCATAAATCCCTGGGGTCCACTTATCACAGGTTTTTAGTTATCTAATGATGACGGAAATACTGTATCCAAAGGTTAGAAAGCAGCATCTTTTTCAGCAAACGTGTTTTGGAGGCATGCAAAGAGCATTTATTTGCTTATCTCTTGTCTCATGCACAATTTCTAAAGAATGCAATGTGCATAGACATCTAAATATTTCTATACATGCTTAAGAATTATTAGTAGATATATTAGAGCTTTGGCACATGCAAACTAAAAATGAAAGTAAATGTGATTACAGAGCAGTACTAGATGCTCAGTCTCTAATGAGCTGGCTGTAACATGGACTAGAAAATTCATTCCATTTCCATCCCTACTCTCTTTCTGGTAGTAATAAGTATCTATGAAGGGTCCAAGTTTAGTCCTCTGATAGCCATAAAGTTTGTTCTAACTAGGTCAGAATAATGTTGCCTTTTAGGATGATTTAAAAGTTTCATTAAAGAGAAAGGGGGAAAAGAGAATGAATGTAGTTCTACACCCATTTTCCCGGTGGGATGTCTGTACTATCGCCAGGGGGTGATGTTAAAAGTAGATTGCGTGTGCTTTGTAATTTGTTTATTTTGAAAGGGGAGTTAATTAATTCTCAGTCACTTTTAATCTGGTTGCTGCAAATGCCTATGTTTCCTGTTGACTGATGCAATGCACATTGGAACTTTTCTTAGCATTGCATGAGAAAGATGATGATAAATCTAGAAGGTACTTCCTATAGGGACTTTTGGGCATTAAACAGTATATTAGAAAGCTATGTTCATTTGTGATCTACTTTTCTCCCCCCAGAGCTTACAGAACTCCCTGAAAAATATGAAGGACGTCGGCATTTTACAAGTGAAGGTTTTAAAGGCGGTAGATCTCTTAGCGGCAGATTTCTCAGGTATAGAAAATGTTCATCTTTTTATTCATTTTTATTTATTTCCTGCTTTGAAGTGATCCGGTGGCAGAGTGAAATGTTTTACTAAGTAGAAGCATGTACAGAGCAATCATACTCTTTCAGTCAGAGTCACAGAAGAAAAAAGGTGCAGACAACAAGTTCTCTCATTTTCCGCAAAATTATCTTTTTCAAGTAATTTTCCTATGATTAGATAATGTGCTAGTCCATTTAGCTTTCAAAGATATTTGTGGATGATTCATGTCGTGACTTCTTTATTTGTTAAATGTTTGATCAAGCTTTTCTATAGGACCTCAGAAGGCAGATTTGATTTCTTGCCTTTTCTCTTGCAGCGCTGTGTGCAGTGTTTTATTCTTCACAGGGTACAGTACGTGGGTCCTAAATCTGGCTGGCTGGCACCTCTCTGTAACAGTAGCCAGAGTCTTGGCCATGGAACCACTTTGCCATTGTTCTATACAAAATTTCTCTCGGTGCTTCACTAGCTGGAACTTATAGACAGAGGCTGGAACTGACATGCTTTGTGCTGAATTATGCTTGACTATGCAGGAGAGTAATCCAGACGTTCCAGTGTCTGATCAGAGGATGCCTCTCCACTCATTGCCGAATTACCGCCTTGTACTGACTGACAATTTAAGCACCTATATGACAGATGCTATTTACCAAGTAAATTGATGAATATGTAGACTATTACACAACATGGATCTATCTGTTAATGCAGTAGTGCATTTTTGTTGTTGTTATATCATAATTTTAGAATGTGGTCTACTCTCTATATTTGTGTAACCTCTGAACTTCTGAGTTTGAGGTAGCTCAGGCTCTGGAAAAGAGAATGTTAATTAGAAGCAGTTTATATTACAAAAATGATGGGATATATGAACTTAGTTTTAAAAAAAGAGTTCTCCTCACCCTCCTTCAAAAAATGAACCAATGGAAATCACTACTCTATAAGCCCCCCAAATAAGGTGATCTCAATTTTAAGGAAATGCCCAGTGAGAATATCCAAAAATGCTTTTTCAGCCAATATGAATATATAAATTCTCAGGGTTGTGGATGAAATACTTCAGTAATGACTTCTAATATTCATCAGTTTACTTGCAAATGTTTATATAGTCTTAGGTTGATTTAGAAATTTTCCTTTTGAAACTTACAGTTTATGAAAATGCTTAATTCAGACGTTTCATGTGCCTTTGACAGTAGTTTTGTCATCACTAAAGCACATGTAGAGTTATCGACCAGTTTTCCAGAGCAAATTGTGTTTTACTTCCATCTCAGTGTTTAGATACAACACTGTTTGAATCTGTGATTGTTGATGTCTCAGTAAACGTTGTCTCAGGCGCCAAGAACTCATTTATGCTTTCAAGCAGTATTTTCAAATATTCTTTCTGTAGTTGTATATTTTGTGTTCGCCAGGAACTAATTGAAATGCATTAAACGTTTTTTTTTAAAGGCTTGTGTACAACTACATCCATATGTGGAAATACTTTTTAAAAACTTACCTTACTGGGCTTCCCTGGTGGCGCAGTGGTTGAGAGTCCGCCTGCCGATGCAGGGGACACGGGTTCGTGCCCCAGTGCGGGAGGATCCCACATGCCGCGGAGCGGCTGGGCCCGTGAGCCATGGCTGCTGAGCCTGCGCGTCCGGAGCCTGTGCTCCGCAACGGGAGAGGCCACAACAGTGAGAGGCCCAAGTACCGCAAAAAAAAAAAAAAAAAAACTTACCTTATTTTATGCTTCCTATCAGGTGGCTTCCATAAAGCACCCCCAAAACTAGGATTGATGGAGGTTGTTTCAGGCCAATGTGAATTCTCCAAAGAGTACTTTGACTATTAAAGTGTATAGGAGAGAAACCTGGAAAATGGAAGTTTTTATAAAGATCAGACGATAAAGCAAAACCCACTTTTCAGAAGAATAATTTTGGGGCAAAATGCCACTATTTTGTCATTTTCTTTATATTCAAGATATTCAGTAGATAGTTTTGGAGTGGATGAAGGTGGTGAGTACCTGAGGATTCCATTAACAAAAAGCAGTGGTTAGAAACCAAATAATGCTAAGCGATTTAGCTAAATGCCCTGGTGATTTACTATCTCTGTATTATTTATGAGAAAATCATCACTCTTCTGAATTGAAGCAAAGATCCTTGTCATCAGCTAAGCATGTCTTTAGACCGTATCGATCTTTATTCTTAGAATCATATTTCACAGTCTAATGTTCTTTATAGGTTGGTAGCCTCATCCAGTCTGTTCCAAACCAAGGTGTTGCTTTAGGGCAACAAAGTGGACCTAATCCAGAGAGTTGTAAAGTAACTTTTCTATGTGAAAAAAGAAGTGGATTCAGGTTGCTGTGAGGTAGCAGTAGAGATGTAATTAATGCCTCCGAGATGTTAGCGATCATATCATATAGTGGCGACTCATACATTATTGCTGTTATTATTGTTACCAATTCACTTGATATGCAGGAAAAAAAAAATGCCAGCTTCACTTGATCATGGATCAGAAGAGGTACTCATCATTGCCAGTGCCGGAAACATTTAAGGAATAAGTAACTTTATACCCAGCATTTTCCAGTCTGTCTTGTCTTATAACTGAGTGTTTCACTGCACTTGCTCAGGGAACAAAGTATTTACTCCTGCAAATTAAAAAGAACTGCATTTACTCTGAATAACCAGGCACATTCTCAAAGAATGGTGGTCGTTTTAGACAGTGCAAAAGGGAACATTCCAACATTCCTACTTTTTTTCATGATAGTTTTTTTTTTTCTGTAATTGTTTGTTTCTTGAAAACAATACCAAATAACCATAATAACTGATGCTTCAAGTTAGATTCAGGGACTCTGATAAAACAGAAGTCCATGGGAGCAGATCTTGGCAGTGGTCCATATGGAGGTGAAGGTTACGGTTTGCAGAGTGCAGGGACCTTTTGTCCTAGAGGAGAAATGAAAGCACTTGGCAGCCCTGCGATCATTGGTTTGCCAATTTTAAAGTTATCTATATATTTGCAAGTAGCAATTAGAAAAAGAAAATATCAGTCACTTATGCTAATCGGATCAAAGTTAGGTGGATATTCCTCATGAATGGTTATTGATGTTATGATTATGTAGCCATAAAAATAAATTAAACTTGGGGGAAATTGAATCCTCATTACTTTGCTAGTATTTTAGAACATTGGAATAATATATATCATATATATAGATTATATATATACACGCACTGAGGTGAACTTCTTTGTAATTAAAAATTTAACTTTTTTTTTTTTTTTTTTTGCGGTAAGCAGGCCTCTCACTGTTGTGGCCTCTCCCATTGTGGAGCACAGGCTCTGGACGCGCAGG